GTGTGACGCCTAGCTCAGGGCCAAATACTGTCGCCAGTGCACTGTCTGAATAGCTGGGGCGTGTACTTGGGTCCGTGAAGAGTGTCTCCATGGCCACTACTGTGTCTAGGGCTGCCTTTGTGGTTGCATCATGACCCTTCCATGGGTGGATTGATCAGAGGATCCATTGGTGTATTAGCTGACCCCACCTTGCCCACTCTGTCAGCCATCCATGCTTCTCCCAGTAGTCAGTGCACGGGGCATCACTGCAGAGATCTGCTCCGTGTCATGCAGGAGATGCTGTTCTCACGGGTGGACTCTGGTGTTACTGCTCTGCCCTGTGTAATGGCACTGTGACTCCTTTGTTACTGCTGTGGAAGGATGGGAAGGTTGACCCCACAGCTGTAACTTGCTCTGCAACGTTGTCTTTGATTACCGTTTTAACAAGACACATTTAATTAAATACAAGTGTTATATAATCAGGGCCGACTTTAGGACCCACGGGGCCCAATTCGAATACCTGGCGGCAGTCCAGGACTTCGGCGGCACTTTGGCGGTGGGGGGTCCGCTCCGCATCTTCTGCGGCACTGAAGGATCCCCCGCCGCCGAAATGCCGCCGAAGACCCCGGAGCGGACCGCCACCGGGTGAGTAAAAAAAATTTAAAAGGCGCCTATGGCGCGGGGCCCTCTTAGGCGTGGGCGCGGGGCCCGATTCCGGGGAATCGGGGGAATCAGCCTAAAGCCAGCCCTGTATATAATGCTGCTCCTGGTACAGTGTGTCGTTTACCTGACTGAGCAGAACTCCTTAGAGGGAAGGATTATAGTCTTGTGAGATGAAGCCCGGATTGCAGGAGGGTTGGAATTGCTTTGGAGTAAAAGCAAAGCCTTTCACCTCTGGTTTCAAACACAGCTGAGGTTCACAGTAGCTGAAAGTTGTTGCCACCCAGTAGCTGTTTGGTATCCTTTGAGTGTTGTGGGCTCAGTCCATTTCCTCGTGGAAAAACGTCCACTTCACAAAAACTACCATCACAAGCAGCGATAATCGGCAATCCCTGCAAATAGGTGAGAACCCACTGGCCATGGAGACTACGATACACTCTTTTCCCTGGAGGTAGTTCCTTCGGGTCAGGGTTCAGGCACACTGGTATAGCAACACGAGCCAGCTTCTACAACCACCAGGGCTGTACCTATTCCAGGTCATTTAGGTGTATTACAGTAGTGCCTAGAGAGCCTCAGCTGAAATGGGGCCCCATTGTGCTAGGTGCTGTACATACATATAGGATAAGAGAGTCCCTGCCCCCAAGAGCTTATATTTTAAATAGACAAGGGAGACAAAGTACATAAAATTACCTTCATGTTATGAATGGGGTCACAGAGAGATTACGTGCTTTCACCAAGGTTACACAGGGAATTTGACAGAGCTGGGAAGAGAACTGAGCTCTCTTGTGTCTCATTCCAGTATCATAGCTACCCCACTGCCTCTCCCTCTGCCTCTCCCAGACAGCTATTCTGTGGGGAAACAGAGGACTTAAATAGCTAATTCTGTCAATCCAGACTCTTCCACCACCACTACATTCACCTGAGGGAGCAGCGGGGGAGAGAACATGCCCTTAAGATTGTTGTAGCATATTACATCATAATTAGATAACACTGGAATCAGAAAAGAGTGAGGGGTGATAAATGTCACAATTAATTTTAACCATGGAAGCATGACATTTCAAGAGGATGCTCTGTCTGTCTTTGTAATTTTCCAAGGCCTTCATAGCAGTTCAGAAAGGAAACCAGAAAACTATAGTGGAAAAGGCAAACTGACTTTTAAAATTTCTAGCAATGATGTGTTTTAACTATATGATTGATGGACCCTTTTATTCTTTTCATTTATTTACATAACACTATTTAAACACTGCCACAGTGATTAATCACTTTGCACTTTTTCTCCTTGAATTAACTAATTGAATAATTAATTTGCTATTGAATTAAATACATTCAATGGTAAAAACATGATAAAAAGTGCACGTGGGCATGATGGCATCTCTCCTGTGCGCCATTTGTATAAGGGGTACAGTTTGTACATTGGGGATAGTAGTCATCCCTGAAGTGAATACAAAGAAGTATTGTGACTCACTCCCAGTGTTTCTACTAGCATTATAAACTGTGAGAGCACTTTATGAATAACAGAGTCTAGAATGAATTCAGCAATGTTTCACTCTCTAACCATCTATTATGCATACTGAGCCAAGTTCTGCCCCCAGATACACATAATTCCCATTGAAACCCACCCACGATATTTACTTTTAAAGATGAAAGCACTTCTGTTACTGTCGTAGAGGACTCTCTGTAGCATGGATAAGAATGCAAATACCCTTCCCACAGGAATGGAAGAGAACGAAGAAGTGTGTAACTTGAAGGGGAAGGGACACTTGGAGACAATAGCATTAGGATTGTTGCGCTGTGATTGTAACCATCACTTTTATCAAAATGATGATCAGAAACGCTTTCCCTGCATTTGCTATTGTATAAACCCCTCTCAACATGATGATTCTCGGTATTGTCTTCACTTTTGGAGACAATAACCTCTGGAGTTAGAATGTGATATATGGGCCAGATCCAAAGCCCTTAGAAGTCAGTGTAAAGACTCTCATTAACCCCCAGGAGCTTTGGATCTAGCTCTAAATGCTTTGAATGGGTGGATGGAAACTTTGAGTCAATATTTCTGTTAGCTTTTGTTCAGTTTAATAAAGGAACACAGCTGGGTATATACTTTTTTTTTTTTTTTTTTTTTTGACAGAACAAGCTACATTCTGCCCTCAGATACATGACCCTCCTTAGTGAAATCCATTGATTTTTGCAGTGTGTTAATGTGTTATCTCCAGCGGTAAGAATTTGCCCCATGCTCTCATGTTTCTGGAAAGAACTTTGGTCACAAAATGTTTTTAATTTCATAGCATGACGAGAATTAAAGGCAGATGACTGCCTCAAGTACACGAGGGCACCAACTTGTACTTTCTCTTCCTCCGTTCCACCAATAACATTTTCCAGGCTGCTGGTTGACTTGAGATGACTGCATCATGGCTTCCTGGCACTCATTGTATGAGCTGAAATCTCTTACACAAGAAACCTAATTGATATGACTTACAACAGAGAATAAAGGAAGAGGAGGAAGCAGTGGTGGTGCTAGCCCATTGGGGGCCCTAAGCAGGAATATTTTTGTGGGCCTCCCCACACATACAATACTAAAACAGGCAAATTCTTATGAAAATAATAATAATAACAAGTAAATTGAGGGCCCCCTTGAGATGTTTGCAGCCCTAAGCAATTGCTTAGTCTGCTTAGGCCTAGCATTGGCTCTGGGAGAAAGCACAGGGCAAGGACTAGTTAATATAAAACAGTATCATATTTTTGTGGCTGACTGAGATGCATAAGTCCTTCTGTCCACCCCAATGCACCTTGTGATTTTGCTAAGCTTCCCATTTTCACTACAGCAAAGAGAAAATATTATAGGGTTTTTACTCAGTCCGATGTTCCCCAAAGAAGTATGCTATCTGGTACCTAATATACACAATGCTATATTTCTGCAGGTGAGTATATATGTTAGTCACTTTTATATGGGGGTTAAACTGAGTGACTGATATTATTATTGTAACTGAACACTAATATTCTTATTTCAACAGGATTTTTCATTAAAAGAAAAATTTGTCAGTAGCTCAGAAAGTCAATATATGATTAGAGTGACGGAAATTATTTGCTGTGTAGAAATTATCAGACAATTTAGCCTTTTGCTCTGTTTGCAAATCAGCTACAAACTGATCCGGATTCCGGTGAATACATTTGTTTATCCTAACTATCTACAGAATAGTTTTGACAAGCCATTTTCAGCCTATCTGTTGTTCGCAAACTGCTTTCTTAGACTGTTTGCTCTTTGGGATTGGCCAACTATGGCTTTGTCTTCACTGATAAAAAAAAAAAGTGTGTTCTTTGCATCAAGATTTTACATCATAGTGGAGATAAGACGCAAGTAATCTTTAGCCATGACGTAGCTGGTTAGCTAGTCAAGGTCAGCCCGACGCCCTTCCCACCTGGGGTTTAGCTCGACTAGCTATATCGAGGTCAAAACTCCTGTGCCTTGTCTCCACTAGGATTGTCCATTGAGATAGCTAACTCTCGATATAAAACCACACTTTTTTGTACAGTGAAGACAAAGCCTAAGTCCCATGGCACTTTTTCTGCTCCCTGATGGAATGAATGAAACATTTTAAACAGGAGACTAGCAAATGAGGAAAAGTGTTATATTATTTGTGTTCATGCATAAATACCTTTATTCACAAAGGCTTGTATGAAGAGCAGCTATTCCCCAAACATTTATGTGAACAAAAGAAATGTGTGTGAACATTTGCAAATCATGAATAAGAAGGGATCTAAATGCGGTAAAGGCAAACGTAGGTTCAGAATCCAAATGAATATCCATGAATATTGTTTCTGCCATGTCTAGCGGTATATTATAAGCTCTTTGGGGGCAGGGAGCATCTTTTTCTTTTAGCACAGTGGGGTCCTGGTCCATAACTGGAGCTTCTAGGTGCTACTGCAATACTACTAATAATTAATAATAGTAGCTGTAGCTAAAGAGTCATCATCACATTCTCCTCCTCCATCACCAGGAGATGTCATTGTTTCCATGAGGAATGAGTCATTTGCCATTACTTATGTCCAAATGTTTTTGAACTCACTGAACCCAAAATTGATTCATGAAAGATCTTCCATCAAGAACTCAGTGGCAGAAACCAGCGTAATCCATTGAGGTCAATCTGAAACTGGCCTGTACAGTTTAATAATCTTTTTTAAAGCAACTCAGTCATGTACAGAGTGAACTTTGATTTACTTGTAAACCCCTTGCCTAGCAGTGGTTTGGGGTTCCCTGACAATGTAGTTGAGAAATGTGTATGTGCTATGCTAGGGTTGTAAACAATGAGCCGGGGAAACCATCCCCGGATCACTGCTGATCTATCTTACTAATGTAATTACAGGACAGAGAAAGAGAGGAAAAATGGCAGATGATAGGAAGGATGAAGCCAAGGCACCGCACTGGACTTCAAGTCAACTAACAGAGGCTTCTTCACACCCGCATTCCCCTGAAATTAAGGAGCAAGCTGGTGCAGGTGCCGGACTGGTCAGAAGTGCCAATGGATTTCCATACAGAGAGGATGAGGAAGCAGGATATGGTGAACGCGGGCAACAGGGCACATACTCTAGAACCAAAGAGAATGGGATCAATGGAGAGCTATCCACAGGAGACAGAGAAACAGCAGGTGACAAAGCCAGACTCCGGCCCACCCTCCCTTTCTCCTATAATATCTTGCTTTGAGGTCACTTTGGTCTGAAGGTGAACACATTGCGTTTTCCCACGTGTGCAGTGCGAGCTCTCAGAGGGCAAAGCCCTGGTGTTTGCTTTTTATAAGTACTTCCTTTGCTATCCTTTTAATTGCTCCACTGCAAAAAAGAGACTTGTAACATAAAACTTTGGGCTTTGATGGGGTAGCCCAAACCCTTCATGACAGGGACCATGTTTTTTTCATCTGTGTAGGTACCGTGCTCACCATAGCAGAACCCTGATCCTAATTCAGGACAGCTGGCAATACGCTAATATAAACATTAAATAATATATGACATTGGGCCTGGTTTCTGACTGGTGAAAGTCAGGTGTAAACCCCAAGGAGCTCCATGGATATTCTGGTGTAGGGGAGATGAGAGTCAGGCCTATTGTGATATCATGAAGCAAAAAAACCCAATCAGTTGCTGTGTGATAATGCTCCCCTTTTCCTAGGGGAAATCCTGAAGTCTTTTCTCAGGGTCAGATTCTGCCAGCATTCCATTGAGTAGTATCTTACTGAAATCAGTGAGATTACTCATGGAGAAAGGGACTACTCACATTAGTAAGGGTGCCATACTCTGGCCCTCTGTGTTTTTTCTGACTTTATACAGGCATATCTCCCGTTGCAATCATTGGGAGTGTCATTGGTGTGTAAATTGGATAAAGACTTTAGGATTCGGCCTGATGAAAAAAAATCTGATTGTATCAAAATTAATGAAATATCCAAGACGGGCATCTTATTTTAGAAGCAAACAGCAATCCTTCCTTTGCAAAACTCACAGTTTAAGCCCTAAATGCACAATGCAAGGGAATTTCTCTCTTTTACGGGCACTGCTGCCCTCAATGCATCCATCCATGCATGCTAAGAAGATCATTTTAGTACCATTTACTGGCTGTTGACAGCACTTTATGCCACCCATAATTGCTCAGCAATTGGACAGTTTTTAATCTCCAGACCCTAAAGTAGTTTCATAAGCGATTGTGCTGGAAATGATAGGTCTGTTAAAAATATATAGATTTAAATGTTGAAAGATTATCCTTGTGGTTAGCAACAACTCAAAAGCCCAGCGATAAAGTAAACCTGATGTGCAAGCACTAGTGCAGACATGTTCTTGGTTGTCCTTTGGGTAGAAGGATCCCTTTCCCTTCCCAGTAATCTAACTTCCTTCTATACTTAGCGACAAATAGTCATATGTAGTCAGGGCCGGATTTCCAGTTAGGCACAGTAGACACGTGTCTAGGGGTGCCTGCGTTCTAGGGGTGCCTGACCTCTCTAAAACTGTGTGCAACACAAAGGTCAGCTGTAGGCAGGGGGGACACTAAAGATGCTGTGCCTAGGGGTGCGTAAGGTGAAAAATCTGTCCCTGTACATAATGCTTTTTTAATCACCCACACTCTCCACTCATATTTTATTATTATATTGTATGCTTGGCACTTTACAACAAGTACTAGAGAAAGGATGGTCCAGTGGTTACAGAGCTAGCCTGGGACACAGAATTGTAAAAATGTAGGGCTGGAAGGGACCTCAAAATGTCCTCTACTCCAGCTCCCTGCACTGAGGCAGGTCGATGATCCCTGACAGGTGTTTGTCGAACCTGTTCTTAAAAACCTCCAGTGATGGGGATTCCACAACCTCCCTTGGAAGCCGGTTCCAGTGCTTAACCATCCTCATAGTTGGATAGTTTTTCCTAAGATCTAACCTAAATCTCCCTTGCTGCAAGTTAAGCTGATTATTTGTTGTCCTACCCTTGGTGAACATGGAGAACAATTAATCATCAGCCCTTTATAACAACACTATACCTATTTGAAGGCTGTTGTCAAAGGCTCTCTCAGTCTTCTCTTCTGTAGGCTAAACATGCCATATTCTTTCAGCCTTTCCTGATAGGTCATGTTTTCTTGGGAGGTCACGGTTCAGTTCCCTGCTCTGCCATAGACTCCCTGTGTGACCTGGGGGAAGTCACTTAATTTCTCTGGGCCTCAGTTCCCCATCTGTACAATGGGGATAATACCATTGCCCTACCTCACTGGAGGGTTGTGAGGATAAATACAACGCTACAGTGATGGGAGCCATATAAGTACCTAAGATAGGCCTTATAATCTACTTGTACAGTGTCCAGATGGGGAATGAGATGGGATGAGGCTCTGGCAGTGCAGAGCAGCAAACATCTTGCTAATTCCGTAATTTCTCTTATATTTTAGGTAATGCTTTCAGAGGCAAGGGGTTGGCCAATAAGGCATTTAAAGTTGAAGCAGTGTAGTCCAATGGCGGGGGCATTAGACTAGGGGGTCGGAGACCGGGGTTCAAGTCTTGGCTCTGCCACTAATCTGTGTGAGGTTGGCTGGGCCTCTTTACTTCCCTGCACCTCTATTTACCCTCCCACGCTTTGTCTATCTAGGTATTTACTTTGCAAGCTCTCTGAGGCAGGGACTGACTCTTGTTACATGTATCTACAATTTCTAGCACAACGGAGCCCTGAGCTCAGTCAGGCCTTCTAGGTGCTACTTTAATACCAAGAATTAATAATAACCTAAAATACAACACACTTCTAAGAACTTATAGTTGAAAGTGCACAGGGAGGCAAGGTAAAGCAATATAATTAAACCAAACTGGGGCTTCAAATTTATTTATCGTGTTTTATTCTGGGGCAACCACAGTAACACATACCAGAAGAAACCCTGGCTGTGCTGTCTTCGTGCTGTAGTCTATAAGTATAGGACAAAAAATACCTGAATGGAAGCATGAGTACAAACAGGACCTCTCTTCTGGTCACTAGACACTTGCCTAATCCTTTCTGATAAGAGCTCAGTTCCATTTTAAGGCTTTCAGCCTAACTAGGCTCACCTGCCTCTGATTAACTCAGGTGCCAGTAAGAAATTGAGATGTAGACCCCAAACACCCGTGACACTGCCTGGCGTGGTGTGGCCTCCCTCTGCCATGGCTCTCCTCCACTCCCCCCCATCACAGAGCTCATGCTGTAAAACTCAAGGGCTGAGAGGAAAGCCAGCATTAGAGGTAGTCAGCTCAGACAAAGGCACCTTCCCCAACTCTGAAACTGAAGGGGGAAATAACCGTTATCACTGAAGCATGTATAATACCTCACCGCAAGTGACATTCTTAGGGTTGCGCCGTTAAAATGTACTGTTGTGTCTCTCTTTCAGCATCTGCATAAGATTCACTGAGCCTGACCTCAATTTTGGAATCCCCTGTGTCAGCCTGTTGCAGTGGCTTTGACTAATCTCCCTTGGTATCGTACTGGTAATGGCTGAGTTACAGAGCAGGATCTTTGTCCCCCTTGTAAATGGAAACACAATCAATGGAGGGGAATTTCAGTGAGGGTACTGCAGCGGGGTAGACTCGGGGCCTGATCTTGCCCCCCATTTAAGTCAGTGGCATAAGACTGAGTGGGGCAGGATCCAGCTTTAAGCTTGTGGAATAGTCCTTAGAAAGTCATTCTTGGTGTCGTTTTGTTGTATAAAGTGTAAGGAAGGGCAGTAGCATAGCAGATTCCTTGTATATAAAAGTGTCCACTTCGGCCTTCTTTCTTTTCTCCCATTTAACATGTGCTTCATTGATACTGTATAGTGCTTATTTTGTAATCAGAAAGTCATGCAATACTAAGCTACATCTACACTACAGCCGGGATCAACATTCTGAGATTGATCCACCGGTGGTCGATTTAGTGGGTCTAGTGAAGACCCTCCAAATTGACAGCAGATCGCTCTCCAGTCGACCCCTGTACTCTACCCCTGACGAAAAGAGTAAGGTAAATCGACAGGACCCCCCGCAGTGTAGACCCCGCAGTAACTCAACCTAAGACGTGTCGACTCCAGCTACGTTATTCATGTAGCTGGAGTTGCGTAGCGTAGGTCGACTTACCGCTGTAATGTAGACATAGCCTTAAAAAGTCTACGTATATTAGATCTGTACAGATACCTTTATCAACCAAATTTGTAATCTAAAGAAAGAATGAAATCAGGCTTGGTTGGCAAGCTGCCTTGTTGAGAGGAGAGATCATGATGATGAGATACTGTGAGAACAGTACTGTGAAAGTCAGATGTTCTGGCACTCCAAGAGCACCAATTACCCCACTCGTAGCCAGCACAGAGTGCAAGTGTTGGCAGTGATATTTTATGAATTATTTCTATAAAATGAATGTATTCTTTCATTATCAGTTATTGAGAATAGAATAGATCCAGAGATCCCTGATTTATATATATTCCTGGAACACCCAAAATACTCATATAAATCAGTAAGTGTGTGTGTGTGTGCACACACACCCCATTAATTTCAATGAATATATTGGGTGCTCCAGGAAATATATTGGGCGCTCCAGGAATACAGGATCAGAACTGTAGCTCTCATGAAGCCAACTGTTGTTATGTGAAATATGTGTTCTAAAGGGAGTATTACTGTATAAACTTTATAAATATGTACTTCACTGTTGAGTGGACTGACTTCAGTGGGCTTTGAATCAGTATCTGCACAGTCCTGAATAATCTTGGAGTGTCTTCTCCCAGCATGCACTTGACTCATTGTAAAATCTGCGATAGTAGCACTTTGGTCACTGAAAAGTCCTGGTCAGGAATTTGGAAGGGATAGCTCTGGAATCCTATCGATGCCTCACAACACCTTCAGTAGGTTATTAATTCAAAATCCAACACATATTTAACTTGCAAAGGACTTTAAATGATCAGGCTTGTTTAGTATGTTTAAAATGTATTTGTTATTGAATTTCTTTTGTATTCAGTAATGTGATGACTAATCTGGCCAATTTATATAATTGGAGGTAAAAATAGCTGGATTCATTGTAAAATCTTTTCCTTATAAGCCGTTTTAATGTGTCGTTATGTATAATGACTCAGTTAATTGAGCTCTTTCTTCATGATATACCTAAAGTAGGGCTATAACGTAGGGGGTTTGGATTGCTAATGTAATTA